GACTGTAACAATGCTGACGCCTGATATAAGTTTGACTGAACTTAAAAATCCCATTTTTGAACATAACGGCATTTATTTTGGAAAAGCTTTAAATTCAGACCCAGCGTTGTCTCCCAGAAACGTCGCATACAATGACTGCTACCCAGCCTGTCCATTCCTTTTATCACAGACACAATGCAGAAAACCTGTTGCCAGGAGATTAAGCCAATGCCTGTCCCCCATTCTCTTCATCACACACACACACCAACACACACACATTCCAGTTGAATAAAAGCAGTGTAGAGTAGAACTTGTTTTCACAGTTTGCCAGCAGATTCCAGGAACCAGTCCGGCATTTGAAGCAGAAAGAAATGGACTGGTTTTTAGGAACACTGGTATTTTGGTATCATCATGCCCATTATTGTTATATTGCCCAATACTACAACATTTTTCTTTAGTTTGCAAATGGCCAGATTCTTCTTCGCTCTGTATATCAGCCTGTTGGCGGTCCATGTTCTAGAAACACAGCTGTCAGGTGAGCCAACTTCTCACAGAATACCTTCCCTTCTCTACTTGCAAAAACTCTGTTGAAGCTTGCCCTGCTGCCTAAAAATAAAGAGACTGACAACGCTATAGATTTCAATCTGCCACTGTGCCCTTTAAGACCCAGTCACTCTTGTTTCAGGTATACACACTCTTTTAAAGGATTTACTGGAACATGGATGAAAGCCAGCTATTCAGCAGAATTGGATGACTCAGTTTGATGAGAAAGACAGAGTGAGGTTTAGATAAGCAAATAATGTTATTGCCTTACTCTGAATATGATGTCATACAGTAGAAAGACCAGTCACTCTTCACAACGGTATCCCATTAGTTTGACCCTAAGGGGTTTCAAAATGTATTCTGTTACAATATCAAGTTACAAAATAATCTAATCAATAATCTAAGCTATCACAACATAATGGTAATATAACCTGATTACTTTCCATTGCTTTTCGATTCCCTTAATATCAAATGCAATGAGAACAAATACAAGAGAAAATACACATCAATAAGATGTTTTTTACTCAAGTGTATTATGTAAGACAACAGAAATAATTTACTAAAAGAAGAAACCAAGATATTTAGGATAAAAAACCTGTCTTTTTAAATGATAGGCTCGATCTACAGAATATTATAATTTACTCATGCTGTTGTAGTTTAATACATACAGTATATTAAAAGTGTTTGTATTTAAAAAACTTATATTAATATAAAAGGATAGAAGTAGCCTAATGAGACCAAAAAAGGAAATTCAGGCAATACCTCTGCCTATAATATATTCATCTTTATTTTTTAATTGTAATGTAACGTTGTAATCCTGTTAGTAATCCCAATTGTTCTGAAATGTAACAGTAATCTAACTACATATTTTTGTTTTTAAATAGCTGTAAGGAAATACGGATACTTAAAATCATGATTACGTCATCCTGCTACATGTAATCCGTTACTCAGCACCAGTGGTGTAAAGTAGCTAAGTAGATTTACTCAAGTACTGTACTTAAGTACAATTTTGAGGTACTTGTACTTGAGTATTTCTATTTTCTGGTACCCCACTTCAATTCCGAGGTAAATGGTGTACTTTTTTTCCACTACATGTATTTAATACCTTTAGATACTTTACAGATTTGGATGAATGATGTGAAATATAATCAAGTCAAGTCTGCAGTATACAAAGTCATTCAAACTAGCTGCACCTTTACCAGCTGTGATAACACTTTAAATAATTATAACTAAGACATATCATATATATTATTCTGAAAAGAACCAATCTGCATAATGACTACTTTTACTTTTGGTACTTTAATTATATTTTGATTACTTTTGTACTTTTACTTGAGTAACATTTACTGGTACTTCTACTTTTACTCAAGTACAAGATCTGGGTACTTCTCCCACCTCTGCTCATTGCTCCCCAAGCCTGCACACACAGACACCAAAAACACACACAGACAATTGACACCACCATTGCCATTTACACACTGTTTTTGTTTAAGTAGTAATTAATGAATGGATAGAGAAAGTAAAATCATGGGGCTGTTTCCAACTGTATCAGGTATTAACCATTCTAAACATACTATCTGTCAAGGTCAGAAATACACATGGATAAACATTCAGTTATTGTGCTCCATAAATCTTGAACACCAGAAAACTGCTGGTCTGCTGCAACACTCAACTCTTTTAAGTCAATGAAGTGTTCTCTTTTTATCACTGCCTTCTAATAAATCTAATAACTATTCATGTCTGACACTGCACTCTGTAAAGCCACTATCTTATTCTATGAATTCATCTAGCTTGTTTTATCTTGGCTTTTTAATTACTGTTTTAAAAGTATTCAAATGTCAATTTATTATGTGTTTCTGTTGCACATATCTCAATTATTTTAATGTTTTTAGTAAAGCACTTTGATTTCGCTTCAAGTTGAAATGTGCAGTATTAAAAATAAATAAACCTGCACAACCTGCTCATAAAGTCATATTTACAGTGACATTTGCTACAGGAACTTATCTTATTTCCTGGTTAGTGTTTCATCGCTCTTCTTAGTTTTGCTGATTCCATTTTCCTCTATAGTGTATTCAATTTCTGTACTACTGTTTATACCCACATATACGGTTCATACTGTAAACAATGTCGTATGTGTATACTGTATTTATATCATACTGTACATTGCAGTGTACTTTACTGCTTCTTTTGAACTTCTGGTTAGATGCTAACTTACATTGTTGTCTTAATACTTGTGCACTTGTTCTCTTTGCAACGACAATACAGTTGAATCTAGAAATGAGGGAATATGTCATCATGATTAGGAAGGCTTCTCAATTCTCTAATTTCCCCTCCTCGGCTCCCGTCCTCGACTCCTATCCTCGTGTCTTAGTCCCGCCCACAGGAGATGCGAGCGGAGGAGTCGAGGAGGGGAACCGAGGAGAGAGGAGGGGAAGCAGCTGGCGGTTAGAGAAATGAGAAATCCTCTCCTCTGAGCGGTCATTTTAAAGAGACGACCATTAATGATGACAGGAGGCACAGCAGCACTCTGTCTGATGGACAGATATGTTCATGATGACTTGTATATTTACTTTGAATTCATTCACAGTGCGGTATAATGAGACAATAACAGGCTAAAGATGCGGACACACACACACATATATATATATAGGTATATATATATATATATATTTATATAAATATATACAATTCAGAATCAAACAAGTATGAGAGCACTCACAGCATAATAACGTAACACTATCAGAGACTGGATATATCCCCCCCCCCCCCCCCCCCCCCCCCCTCTCTCTGGTCGCTACAATGAGGAAATGAAATTACGGGCCAAAAGTTTTATTTACAAGTATTAAAAGTAAGCATGGGACACCAAACCAACTGAGACCTGTCTGTCCGCCGCATCCACACACACACACACACACACACACACACACACACACACACACACACACACACACACACACACGCACACACACACACACACACACACACACACACACACACACACACACACACACACACACACACACACACACACACACACACACACACACACACCTTCAGCTCCTAAAGCATATCATATATCAGGATACAGCCGTTGTGTATTTTAATATGTGAAGCACTGAATGGTTTTAGACAAATATCGACTCTTTGTTTGTAGATATCTACTAAAATAAGCAAATACAGAGAGTAATGGAGGCCTGTTATACTGAGTGATATATATTATACACACTGCTCTGCTTTCTGCACGGACCTCACAGCTGTTCTCACTGTAAACATCGCATCGCGATGAAAGCAGTTAATAAAATAATATCCAGGGGATAGAGATGGGTGAGTCCTGATTCATCCGGATCATTAACCCGGATCCTAGAAATGAGCTGGTCGTGACGAGTCTCCCCTCTCCATTAACCCGAGTCCTTGAGTCCCACACTTGGTCTGACGTACAAATTAAAACTATAAATTGCGTCACTCGCTACTCTCTTTATAACATGCAAAATCACATTACAACGTACCCCAGTCCATCTACCTACCCTTTAGCAAGTAGGATAGCTGCCAGAAGTGATCGTTTGGCTCAGGGGAGGGGACGCGGATCAGTGAAACTTCCTGCAGACTCGTGGGGACTCAGAGGAGCCGACGGCTCCTAACCGTAATAGCATAGCAGATCCAGAGATCCATACTCGTCATGTGCACGAGCATAGCCCCTCCTCCAGCACCCGGCTCCCGCGGCTATATTATGCACGAGTCAACAGCAGACTCGCAGATTCGCAGATTCGCAAATCCTGACTCACTGTGCAAAACACAGCAGACTCGTGCGGACTCAGAGCCGTAGCCATATAGCAGCAGATCCAGAGATCCAGCAGACTCGTCGTCATGCACGATTCAACAGTAGACTCAGATTCGCTAAATCGCAAAATAACCCTTTTATTTGTGATCAACATTTTTTATTAAAGCAAAATACACTGTGTAGCGGAGGTTAATATAACGTCAGTTTAATATGCTCGTGAAATGCAACAACTTTTCGGTTTCACCGATAGGATTTCTACGGTCTTGGTGATGCTGACTCATATGACTCAAATGACTCGTATGATCCGGATCTCTTCAATGACTGACTCAGAAGACCCTGAGTCCGTAAAAGGATCCAGATTTGCCATCTCTACCAGGGGATGCATGCAGAGCTGTCATTGGCTGAGATAAGTCCGGCCGTGCGTCACAACTCTTTTAAACATCTCTGTTGCCGGAAATGCATCCGCGGAGGAGCCGTGGAGGATGCATCAGTGTATCCTCGATTATAGCTCCTCCAGAGAGCCTCCTCGATGCTCGATGCTCGGTCCTCGATGTGCATTTAGAGAAATTAGATGTCCTTCAACATGGCGCGCCGAAAACCATTTCCGGGTCACTACCGGAGGACCGAGGAGTCGAGGAGGGGAAATTAGTGAAATGAGAAAGGCCCATAGATTTATATTCTGTATATATTCCCCCCCCAGGCTGCAGCAGGGAAGATCTCATTGGACGGGTCGCTGCAGAACTCCAGCTGTGAGCTGCAGGACAAGATGAGACGCCTGGGCTCCAGCTCAGAAGATCGCCCCCGCCTCACCGGCGCCCTCTCCTGCCTGAAGAGTGCCAATGAAGCAGGTGAGCCAGGGAGCTGCACTGCATGTGTGAAGGGCATATTTATAGGACATGCATGAATAAAACAAAAATAGTAATGGGGTTGATTTCTTTATTTTGTTCAATCTTAAGGGGTATGAGCTTGGTTCTATTTTCACATGGTTTGATAGCGGAATGTTCAAAAATGTTGTTTATTTGGAAACTTGATTTACATTTGTAACATAATTACCAAAACTATATACCAGCTAAGGGACCGTCAAAGCCCCAGGTTCATTTTGTGGCATTATAATAGTTTTTAGGGGGTATGAGGATTTGAAAATGATTCTAGAAAGGTGCACTTTGGTAACCATTTTAAGACTTTGGAAAACAAAACTAAAAGTCAACCACCACTTACAGAACAAACTTCTCCCAGAGATTCCAACCATGTGAAATGGTGTTCATCAGCTGATGGAGTGGGTGTGTTCATCTGCATATTTTGAAAGTTGTTATTCATAACACTTTTAAAACGTCTTAGTCTTGTTGAAGTGTTGTTTTCAACATCATTTAAAATTCCTTCATTTTGAACCAAATGCACCAAGAAGAAACCAACACAGAAAAACAACCAAATATAGTCACACAACCAAACACAGAAATACAACAGAACACAGTAATTATGGAGCCAGAATTGGGTCAATATTCTAGCGCGCAAAACAAGCTACTCACGAGCGAAACATTTGCTTTTACACACGCATAAAATGCGAGAGAGACAGCCCTCTCGCTCGCTCACGGGAGTTTCAGCCTCACTCCCTCGCGGAGTCTGTCTGCGCATGCGTGAAAAGTTTCTGACACTTTGGGGCGGAGCCTCTGGACTTTGATTGACAGCTGCCAGGAAGCCCGGAGTTGCCAGGTTTGATCATTGCCTGAACTACCAAGAGCCGAGGAGTGACAGCAGCAAGATTAGTTGGACGAGATTTATTGGTGAAGTTGTCCATAAAAAACTATTATATTCGTAAAGTGTACAGCTAATATATATATCAATTAATTTGATATAAAACAATATATTTTTGAGTGGGCTGTATCTGTCGAAATCTGCTAGCTACTGTCTGCTGTAAGCACCTACAATAGGTAGGAAACATGAAGGTCCAGTGTTAACATGTAGAAAACAAGTTAACCTAGAGGCCGTTTTATGATAACGTTTTGGTATAATTGGCAATTTGTATTTTCAATATTCAATGAATATGTAATGATGCTTAGTGAGGTTCAAGGTTCAAGGCTTTTATTAGTCATACGTACATAGCTACAGTGTAGTTATGACGATGAAAATCTTAGGTCACAGGCTCCTCCAACAGTGCAACACAATAAAACAGAAAAAATAGTGCAAGTAAATACAATAAGAAAAATAGTAAAAAAGTGAAATTGTGGAATAGTGCAATAAGAGTCTATATGCAAGTGATTGAATATGATATATTAGATAAATAATTTCTAAATTGCAGCCAGATTAATGTTGTGGATGTTGTTTCAAAAGTTCAGGGGCCTCATTTATAAAGCCTTGCGTAGGATTGACGTGGGAAGGTTGCTTACGTAGGACAAAGGAAATAAATACGCACAGACATTTTCCGATTCATAAAAGACTGCGTACCGGCGCAGGACTTGCGTGCGGCACATCCTACGCCGGTTTCCCTTTATAAATCACAATCAACTCGAAATGCGGCGCAGCTTTTGCGGGCTTCACGTAACGCCCATATTTGCCTATAAATAGTCAAAGAAACGCCCATTCATTCATTCATTTTGACTGACTGCATGAAGAAGATCGCAGGAAATGAGGACAGCACAGCTAAAAAAGACATCTCACACCGTGTCAGATGTAGGTTATTTTGGGGAGGTCGAGATAAATCATATTGTTTGGTGGATGCAGTTTGAACCAGAGTAGCAGCATGGAGGTCGGATCGTCACCAAAATAAATGAATAAGTGGTCCGTAAAAAGTTAATGACAAAAGAAATACACATAACCTTCCTCAGGCAGTGTGTTTGTCCCGGGGACAGGAGACACCCCCTTGATGAGAAACTGTAAGAAATGATCGGGGAATCCCTCCGGAGTGTAGTCATGACGACTGGATCTGAATTATTTTGTTGTATTTCAATCAGCAACTATATATCCATAATCCACCAGTTAAAGGAAATACAACTAATGTGTTGTGTTATATTAGCTGTACAATTTTCCACATATGGTGTTCTTAGTTTCCATACCTCCTGTGTTTTACGAGCGACTTATCAAGTCTTGGCAAACGGCATAAAACACGATTAAACGTGATAGTATATAAAACCATGCTCGTATCAACCTATAGAAATGCAAAATGGCGTCAGTTTAGACGTAATTCTGTCCTCCTGCTTACCGCATCATTTATGAGAAAACATTTCATAACATTAACACAACATATTCGAGGTGGTTTTAAATAACATATCCGTATTTATTTATTTCTCCAAGTTATGTTTTTGTGTGCACTGAGGAGTCTCAAACAGGCGTTTGTTTAATCATTTTAAGATTGGCTTTAATCAATGTTTGAAAATGAATTCTTCATATATGATAAATGAGAGGTAACATTTTATTTATGGTATTATTTCCACATATTTCTCTCCATTCTTCCTTCTGCCAACGGTGTCGCAGTTTCTCGTCTCTCCCGTTTGTGTGCGTACGCATGGGTTAGAGTTTGCGTGGAGGGCCGCACATTTTCCCGTCAAGTTAGTATTTTATAAATCGCAAACATTGCGTAGAAACTGGCGTACGCCATTTTTTGAGCGTATATCCCTTTATAAATGAGGCCCCAGGCCGTGATGCAGCCAGTCAGGATACTCTCTATGGTGCACCCGAGGACATGCAAATATGTTTGTTGTCTACTACAAAGACAACCAATGATCTTAAAACTAAATATATATATATATATAGTTTTACATTGTGATGCAAAACACCCTGTTTGTGTATTAATTCATTGCTTTAAACTTTTTTTTCTTTCCTTTCATTTAAAATCGGCACCCGATTCAGAGAATCACCCAGCTAATGTTTGCTAGCTAAATAGCTAACTCAACAGCACACTGACAGGGTAATCATAAAACGGCCTCTAGGTTAACTTGTTTTCTACATGTTAACACTGTGGACATTCATTTTCTTCAGCAGACAGTAGCTAGCAGTTTTCGACAGATACAGCCCACTCAAAAATATATTGTTTCATATCAAATGAATTGATATATATATATTAGCTGTACACTTTACCAATATAATAGTTTTTTATGGACAACTTTATCATTAAATCTCGTCCAACTAATCTTGCTGCTGTCACTCCTCGGCTCTTGGTAGTTCAGGCAATGATCACACCTGGCAACTCCGGGCTTCCTGGCAGCTGTCAATCAAAGTCCAAGAAAATAGTCCTTTCCAATATTCCAACAAATCGAAACAAAAGAGGCAAAACTCAAATAAAATAATAAACAATCTTATATCGTTTATCTTTCTATCATGTTGTATGTTGGGGAATAATTTGCTTAGGTATTCAACCTTTGACACAGTTCATCATTTTCTCCTCTCACTGTCTCCTTTCCCATGGCATAGGTCTACGGCCTTGGGTATTGCTGCTATTTCTCTTAAGGAGGAGCAGCTTGGGCGCATTGTTGTTGCCAGTCTATGACAGAGCACAAGCCGCCATGAGGTAGTTTACTGTTCAGGGACGTAGGTTCCCTGGTGCACATTCTTTCCTATGGACGAGAGCTCTAGTTAGATTTAGGGTCCATAATTGTTTAGTCTCACTGATAAAGAATGTTGATTATTACACTCCGAACTAGTTAAAACCTCGAACTACAGAAGAGTTCTTCAGAATTGGTTTGGCAACCACTGTGTCAACTCGTGACACACCACCTGTCTTGTCAATTCTCCGGCCGTAACTCCAAATAAACCATCAGTGTTTGCCATCAAAGCTCCAGCTCTCCTCGTGTCTCTCTGAGTCCTGTTTCCAATTGCTTCAGAAGTTTCCCCCACATTGTGTGTATACTAAAAAATTAACGATTAAAAACTGTGTCTCGACTGCGTCTTAGAGATAGGTTGCTCTTATCTGTGTCTCTTAAAAGGCTGCCACTGTGGTGAATTGTAGTCTTTAATATGTCCTTGACCAAAGATGTCAAGTTGACAACATTTGGCTTTCCCACAAAAACAAAAAACTGACTCTAAGAAGTAACTTTGGTTGGATGTTTTTCTACATGTGTGTTGGTTTTGAGTTGTTGAGCATACTTGGGACACCCTTAGCAGTTTAACTTTGGCATGAAAACACTAGTTTTATATACTTTTTTTTAACATTTAAGAGTTTTGAGTACATCTTTCATTTGCTGCCCATTGGCCGAGCCACATATTTCCAAAGCATTGTATTGATATCAATCTGTACTCTGATGACACCCTGCTGTTTGTAACCATTAAAGTTGGAGACAATGGAAATCTGAATGTCTTTTTTACCTCAAGAGCTGGATGCCACCAAAACAAATAAATGAGATCTATATTACTTCGTTTTGTGCTAACATAGCTGGCAGTTTCTTTACATTTAAACAATTTTGTTTATTGTCTTTTCATTGTTTCTATATGTTCTACTCTCTTATTTGTCATCTTTGACCTTTCAGGTGAGATGAGACGCAGCTCTGAGCCCCAACAGGACAGTGATGCCTTCTCTCCCATTAGCCCCCCCTCTGGCTTTGTCAGCCCCTCCTCCCCCCTTCCACCAACCAGTGCCCACGGCCGCTCCATCTCCATATCAGTGGTACCATGTTCAGGAGATCACAAACCTATCTCATTGGCTGAGGACGCGTTCCTGCCCAACACCCCTCCAGCCTCTCGAGCCTCGAAGGCACGCACTGCCCTGCCCTCCCAGACCCCCCCGCCAGCCTCCCGCAAACTGCTGCAGCTCCTCCCCAACATCACCCTGCCCAGGAGCAAGAGTCAGGAGTCCCAGCTGGCCAACCGCATCGAGGTTCCGGCTACACACAGGTGGGTCTAAGAGTTACTGCAGTCGTGTGTTTATGGTAGATCAGAGTCTCCTGTTTGAAATGTGCATTACCTTTCAGCTGCCAAATATCAAACAGAAATAAAAATGGCGGGAAAGAAGTCATGGCATTCCGGTATAGCCTCAGATATTTCAATTCTAATATTTGTGATCTCCAGAAGATGATATTTAAAAATGTTTTAGTCAGACATACTGTCCTCAAGTCAATGAAGTGACCATTTGCGGCAAATGCGGCGACTTCAGCTTGTACTCTCACTTCCTGTCACATTTTACTTTCTATAGTTCAATCCGGAGAGACGGTTTTGATGTAAGAATACATATTTATTGCCAGGGATACACAAATGAATGTAATGGTGTTTTGGCGATTAGGCCCCGTTGTGCAGGAGTATCATTCGGGAGGGGAGAACCGATCCGATGAAACCCCCTGGGGTCTTGACACTGGTGGTGGTGAATGGATGGTTGGGGTCGGTCTGAAGAGGAGGGGCTTAGCTTGACCCTGGAGTCAGAGGGACAGGAGGTGAAAAGGGGTGGAGGAGGGTTGCGTCGAGTCACCTGAAATGACAGCTGTCAGAGGGGGGAGAGCAGATTTTAAAGGTTTAGCAGAGCGCTATGATAGGCTTGTGGGAATAAAGCGAAGTGATTGGTTAATCTGGGGAGTGACGCCCCCGATAACTTATTGAGAGGAGAGAGAGTAGTAACATGGAAATAGTAAATGAAGAGTAAAGACGGTCTTCCTGGTTGAACTTGCGCTGAGCTTCATTAAAGTCTCAAAACCTCCCAAAAAATACTCAAAAAATCTACAACAGATGCCAAACCTTGCTGTTCGGTATGAATTAAGAAAGCAGGATAAATTGATATATTTGACCATGAATCCCCCTGTTCAGATCAAGATTAAGGTCAATTTTTAATAATCCCGAAATTCAGTTTTTCCCTCTCACAAAGATTTGATGCCTTGCTCAAGGACACCTCGGCAGTGCCCAGTAGGTGAACTGGTACATCTCAAGCTACCAGTCCACACTCCTATATTTTTTGGTCCGATAAGGACTTGAACCGGCAAACCTTCGGTTCCCAAAACAAGTCCTTGAGCTACTGCTGACCAAGGAAATCAACAATGTTTTTACCACAACTATATAAATATATATACAAATATTTCTAGTTAATAAAAGTGTGGTTATCTGCCTAAAATGTCAGCTTTGCACACAATACTTTTACATTACATGACCTACTTTTATCCAAAGCGACTTACAATAAGTGCAATAAACCACAGAGATTCAAACTAATGACAACAAGAACAGTGCTGACATATTTACTTCAAAAAGCAATATCATTGTAAGTGCTGGTGCATAAGTTATTTTTTTCGCCAACGTATAAGTGAGACAGGTGGGTCTTCAGTATGCGCCAGAAGATATGTAGACTCTCCGTTGTCCTGATATCAGGGGGAAGCTTGTTCCACCATTTGGGAGCCAGGGTAGCCAAGGGCATGTCTTTGTTGGGGTGTACCTGGTTCCACTTCGCAGTAAGGGAGTAGCAAGCCGATTGGCTGAAGCAGAGCGACTTTTTTCATTCATGCTGTCTATGGGCTTAACATTGTACATTTTTAGCCAATATGAGTTTATTACCTTTTCTGTAATGCCAACCCAAAGGACACACTTCAAATGTGTAGACCTACTACGTATACAAATGTACGAACTACAAAATTGTCATTAAGTTGATAACCCTGTCTAACACAGTCTCCAATGCAGGACCTTCTGTAATTTGGCGTTGACACACACACAAATGAAGGGAAACATATCAATATGTATCCCTGACTATGGCACCAATGCTAGCGATGACGTGACAGTTGTGTATTCTCAGGATGAAGGACTGCTGTAGTAGATGTTCGTTGCTCTCTGTGTTGCAGAGGCGGTAAGAGGAACAAAGTGTTGGGGGCTCTTCACATCAACGGGAACACTCCTGATGACTCGGCGCTGCGCTCCCCCCCGCTCTCTGCCCGAACACCTGGCCCCGTCCCGGCCTCAGCCCCCTACATGATGGACAGTGAGTGTCCTTCACGGATCTGCTCTGGTTCCTCCTCTCTTTGTTCTGCTGTGATTCTGCTTCTTTTCCTTTGAGTTTCTGACACATTCTATGTTCTTCACAGATGTCTCCATGCACAGGGGTTCCCCTCAGACAATGAGGAGAGACATTGGCCTGGCTGTCACTCACAGGTCAGTGATCACCACCACCTCCCCCCCCCCCCACTGTCCTGTTTAGAATAGACTATTTTATTTGACAAGGTTATATTAATTATGCTGTAGATTCTGTTGTTATAGTAGTGTCAACACTCAAAAAAGGATTCATTAGAGTAAAGTTTAGCTTAGACATTTGCATTATTATAAAATAAAAATCATACTTGTGGCTCAGGGGCCGAATGGATGTATACCAATCAAAGTGTCAGTGGTTCGATACCAAGTTCATTGTGTCAATATGGTGACGTTTTGGGCAAGATACTTAAAAAAGCATTCTGCTTATTTTCAGGTTCATATTTGTATGTAGTGCCTCTACAGTGACATGTCTCCAAGCTTTAATGTTCAAAAAGCTCTTTATTTTTCTCATACTGCCTGTGCTGCAGCACCTTTTTTCACCCTCTGTCTGAAACCAGAGCCCAGTCTGCTCTGATTGGTTAGCTGGCCGACTCGGTTGTGATTGGTTAACCGCTTCAAGATGTGTCAGAAATGTCCCACCCCTAAGCCTATCACGTACATGTATACAAGCGCTAGCCAATAGAAGTGTGAGTGTTACATAGTGATGTCACTATGTTACGGTAGTCAACAAAGGAGTCTAATTGAGGCGTTTCAGGCAGGGGGGGAGTGTGTGGGAGAGAAACTCCCTCTGGAGGGAACACAGGGATTTTAGCCTTTGCAGAACATTTACTTGCACACAAACCTATATAACACAATACAGGAAAGGGAAACCCCCCAAGAGCATAATATGGCCTCTTTAAGAGCAAACTTTATTGTGGGCAGGCTATTTTCCCAAAGCCAAAAATACATGTATATAGAGCTGACTGTGTGTGGTATTGCAGTCACTGAAGTAAAGGCTGAATTGGCATTAGGTTAGTTCATCTGATTGTTTTCAAAGACCAAATGTTTTGTATTTTGTAGGTTTTCTACCAAGTCCTGGCTCTCCCAGACGTGCCAAGTGTGTCGCAAGAGCATGATGTTTGGCGTCAAGTGCAAACACTGCAAGTAAGAATCCTAAAAATAGCCCTGCCCCCCCCCCCCCCCATACTCTGTTTGACTAATACTTCCACTTGCAATGGTCTCACGTCATAACCATCTGCTCACAGGTTAAAGTGCCACAACAAATGCACCAAAGAGGCTCCCTCCTGTCGGATATCATTTCTCACATGTAAGCATCACGCAACGCCTTCTGTTTCTTCCATTTTTTCTTCTTTTGAAATGTAATTGTCAGGGAAAGTTTATTTTTTATTTGACGTGTATCTCAGCACATAGCATCTGAAGAGTCGAACTGAATTGGACAGATTGTTGCTTTATACAACTCTGACAAACTGACTATATTTAGTTTGATGGGAATATAGCTAACACGAGTTTCGATGGTTAAACCAAAAGCAAAGGATGTACTAAAAAAGTTCTTATCTGTTTTCAATCGTAAACTGTGGGTATTGCATCATGCGATTGGCAGTGCATAAGGAAGTGATCTTGTAATAACGGTATGAGTGCAGGAAGCAGAACTCTTTTTAATGCACATACAGATCTGTGTATATCTTTTTAAGGCCCTGTGTCCACATTGTGTTATTTTCTGGGAGAAAAAGCGCTGGGTAGAGCCTCCACCAAGCGATTCATCCAGAAATGTTCCCGGTGCTTTTATTTAAGTTTCTTTGACATAGATATAATGACATTATTTGTATACATCTATTTGTGCTATTACCTCAGTTTCCGTCTGAAAGTGACGTCACTGTCGCCTCTGTGATAAGATAAAACGGTGTCGAGTCCAAACAATCGAGCAAACAAACCAAAATAGAGCGTAAAAAAAAACACTGTGTTTTTGTCTCGAGGCAACATGCGTTATCTTTCTCATTAAACATTTAAAAAACCACACGGGCGCTCAGAAAAAAGGCGCTATGTGGACACAGGCCCTAAATAGACTAGAAAATGTGTGAACCTTTAAAGGTCACCTATTATGCAAAATCCACTTGTTCATGTCTTTTATACATCAACATGTGTCCCCTCTGCGTAAAGAGATTCTGAAAGTCTCAGGAAAAAAGATTCGCTCACTTTTTGTCCTGATCCATTTATATAAAAACCTGTCTGAAAATGAGCTGATCAGATTTTGGCCACTTTATGATGTCATAACGATTTTTTGGCTTGTGTAACCATTAGCCAATCACCAACCAGGGTAACCCCCCCCCCCCCCTTATCACCTGAATCTCCTCCTAGAGCACCATTAGCCGCGTTCACACCAAGTACTTTCCTGTACTTAGTGCCGGCACTAAGTGCCCCGGCGCTTTTAACCCCAGGGCACTTAGTACAGATCGCGTTCACACCGGAGTACTTTTCCCTGAGGGAAGATTACGCAAATGAGCCGCTGACGTCACTTCTTCTTTTTCTGCGTTGGCTTTACTGGCAGGCCACAAACCACTTCACGGCGAGTACAGTAGGTGGCGGTAAGCACCTTAAAGTTGTTTGCAATCCGCTACAAAACAAGAGAAGAAGAAGAAAAAGAAAAACTTCCCGCGTATACTGTCTGTTGTTTACCTTCCGACCTCAGACATGGATGGATGATGGAGATGGAGTCGACTGAAGTTGTGCTGTTTGTGCTCATGTTATACAGCTTTGTAACTTCGTTAATGCGGCCAGAGCCTGAGCCTATTAGGCGTCCGACAAAAATCCGGAGCCGCCACACGTCGAATGCTATAATCGCAAAGTTTTCTTCAGCATCAAAGGCAGTTCAAAAGCTGTAGGAAAAGGATTGGCCGACGGAAAGCACACATGATTGCCATGTTTCACCGTAGGATGGCTGATACAGGATCTCTTTAATCGCCATGTCGGTTTATGTCAGTGGTACATGTCAGTAAACATTGTCAATATAAAATAAAGTGTCAGTTGTACTATATAATAACAGTAATAACAATATAAAATAAACTGTCCCAGGTGTAGGGATAGTCTCAGCAGCAAACCCACCTTAATGATATATATATATATATATCTTCCTGAGACCCACTGCATCCGTCTGCCATAAACACTATGCAAACATACATGTTAGTTTTGGCCCATAGTGGACTCCATGTTGTGTGAAATGGGGGGGAATTAAAAGTTTAGGTCAAATAATATTTAAAATGATATAAATTATCATATTTGTGTATGTGCCGCTGCCATTCCCCCACAAGGTTGCAACATTGATGATAAATAAATGACAAATAAAGCTTTGCCAGTTTATAACCGATGAAACATGATGGTATCAGAATAATCACTTACATGTGATGTATAGGATGCTACACAGGTCACTAAAGATAAAGTGTCAGGAGAAATAAGCTTAATCGCCATGTCGGTTTTCTTTATTGCACTCTCAAGACATAACATTAAATAGAACAATTTTAAATGTAAATAAAGTGTCAGTTGTACATGTCAGTAAACATTATATATAAAATAAAGTCATAACAGTAATAACAATATAAAATAAACTCTCCCACTGGTGTCCCAGTGTCAGGCACAATGCAACTATCTAGGCACATAAAGATCTTTAAAAGATACTTGCAGTTAATATTTTGTAATGTTGCATTTATGCAGTGGATTTAACAGCTGACATTTTTGAGCACTCAAAAACTGGTCCATCAATCTCATGAACACATTGTGTTTTCTTTTCCACAATTTAAAAATAAGTGTTGTTTCCCCAAATGTTACTTTTCAAAGAGGTGCTCTAAGCATCCACTTTGTCTGCATGCTCATAAGTGCTAACACTACAAACCAGCCCTGTGCACTAGGCTTGTTAAGTGTGTTTATTCACATTTTACTGAGAATTTGCTGCATTTAGACATTTGATGTCTGAATGTGTGTATGAGATGGGCCATTTCAGCTCCCAGTACTCCTAACAAACCCTTGATGATTTTATCCAGAGGCAATGTTAGAACAAAACACGACTGACCTAAACCTGACCCCATTTTCAACTCTGCTTCCAGGCATGTGCTTTATTTGCCTCGGTAATAATGATGAATAATACTTAATAGACACATTAAGTGTAAGTGTAAGTGTAATATTCTCAGCAGCATACACACCGTAGTGCAAAGTTGTGTGTCGTGTGTCAGTATTTACAAAAACTATACCAAATAAACAGTTATTAAATGCAGTTTGTCGCTCATCCTGCCGCTCCTGGCGCTGCGCCGACGCTTCCTCATGGCGCAGCGCCCACACTTCATCCTGGTGCTGCTGGCGCTCCATCTGCTGCTTGAACACTTCTGCCTGGCGCTCCATCGAGGTGAGCATCTTGTCCTCCGTTTCCTGGGCCTTGGTGAACAGCACCATCTGATCTCCACGCAGCGACTCATTCACCACGGCACGCCGGTCCTCCAACGCCTGGGCGGTGTCAAAGAAATTCGCATCCCGTGTCTGCTTTCCTAAGAGGGGAAAATAAGCAAGATACAAGATCTGTTTAGTCGCCATGTAGTTTTACAACATACTAGGAATGTGTTTTCACAAATAGAATTAAGGTTTCACAAATCTGAAACTGTGTTCTAAAGAATCTTTTGACTCTCTGGGATAATCCAGTCCAAATAAATCGGCTATGCAGCGATTTAAGAGGTTCAAACACGGAGGATTGTTCCTTTTTGAAGAGTGCTTCATGTATGCTTGAACTTTGTCTAATGTTGTTAAAGTTTTTCTTACCGGAAGTCATGTGACCTCTAGCTCTAGTTTTCACGCTGTTTCATAATTGTACCAAGAAGGAAATAAACATAAACATGATGCGTAACGTTCTTTCAAGACAAAGTTACAGTGTGTGTACCTTTGCGAAGCAAATTACAGAAACACTGCACAGTTATTCACAAGTCAAAACGTTTTCATAGCGGCCGAGAATATCTAGCTAGCTAGATGTAGCTAGCTCGGGGCCGGTGTTAGCCTATTCAGCCTAGCATGGCTAGCTTGATCTACTGAGCAAATAAAAGTACATCTGAGACCATTATTGTGCAGATTAAAACCCCAGTGCATGTAGCTGATTTTACCTTCGTCGTGGTCGTCATCGTTGGCCACTGAATCCGCCGTTTGTAGTCCTGCCCGAGTTTCTTTATTTTTAGCCGGTGTGTGCCGTGGGGCTGTGGACATTCCCAGGTCGAGTGAAAGCTACTGAACTGGCTACAGTAGCATTCCCTGGGTCGCGTCCTAGGCGTAGATCTCCAGAAGCGCCGACACCTCCTCATCATTTCTTGATGCTTGCCATAACTGCTTTAAAAAATAAACCCAACGCTCCGTTTTTGTAGCGAGGAAAAACAATGGCGTCTCCACACAACATTTTCACAGTTGTACGGGCGTGGTTTGCAATTCGCCCAGCCAATCAGCACTGGGGCACTTTTCACCGACAGAAAAGTACGCTCTCCCAGCGGGCTCTAAAAATGGGGGTAAAAGTACCCGAGATTAAGTACGATTTTTGGTGTGAACGCGACATAAGGGGTACTCACGGAACTAAAACGCGAAAAGTACGGTGAAAGTACTCCGGTGTGAACGCGGCTATTGTGTTCTTTTTAACCAAATATCTCTCAGAGGGGCGTGGGGAGTGGCTCCTTATTTTCATCTAAAGTAACAGACAGAGAATCAGCACTTTGGAAACAGGGCTGAAACAGAGGGGATTATGGGATGCTGCAATGATCTGTTTGGTGTCTGGAGCCAAACACTTCAGAGACATGTTTTGTATATATCTGAGACCATTCATATATTGATGAAAAACAGTATAATAGGGGACCTTTAATATTCAATGTTATGTAATTAAACCAATGTTTTGATCTGATTTGCAGTGCCCAGGATGCGGAGGGCAGAGTCAGTGCCGTCAGATATCAATAACCGGATTGATCACACAGTAATGATCCCACTGCAGTTCGGCACTTTACCTAAGGCAATAACCAAAAGGGTAAGCACATGAGCACACGTTTCTTTTGTATGACAATCTGTTGCTGTTCTCAAAGTTATTAAGTGTGTGTGTGTGTGTGTGTGTGTGTGTGTGTACGCAGGAGCACCCCCCCAGTTTGAGCCAGCTGGACTCCAGCAGTAACCCATCATCCGCCACCTCCTCCACACCTTCCTCCCCGGCACATTTCCAGCACAACAACCCCCCCAGTGTGAGCACCACCCCCCCATCCAACCCGTCACCACAGGCCTCCCGGGACAGCCGCTTCAACTTCCCAGGTCCTAACCTGTTGAGATGTATTCACCTGTCTGAAGCCTTTTAAACGTTTAGCATTGCACATCCTCCGTTCTGACTTAATAAAGTAGAAAGTATGAAATGATGAATGTTGACTGATGTTCCACCAGATGTTCCTGAGTCCACACACACTGCTGTTCAACATGCTGGCAGCTCCAGTCAGTCTGGGTAAGGGAAAGCAACACAGAAACCATACTGGCTGATGTTAGCTTATCATACTTCGAATAATAATCTTTCATTTAGTCTTTTATAGATCATTTTAATTTATCCGGAATATTTTATATTTTGTATTATTTGTGATATATATTTTTCTACTGCAGATGTGTTTATATTACATATTAAAATGTGCTGTTTATTTTTGTATACTTTATTCGTTTAAATATTGTAATGCCTAAAATCACTGCTGCTCCTATAACACAAGAATTTCCCAATTGGGGATCAATGAAGTATCTATCCATCCATCCATCCATCCATCCATCCATCCATCCATCCATCCATCCATCTAATAAAACAATAGGAAATATCCAATGTATGTGCATTAATGTTAAAAAACATAGATCGGTCAGTGTATACACATTTACTTTATTTATCCCAGAAGAAATGTGGTTTTGTGACGGATGCTCAATTTTTAAGTGAAATAGAAGAAGCAAAAATATTATTTTTAAGAATATTAAACAAATATGAATAATAATATAACGTTTTTTTATAAGTTTATGCAATAAATGATAACATAAAAATAAAGATATTTACATAACACAAGAAGTTATAGTAACATTTTGTTTTAATGCCACATTTACTTTCGGAGAATTAGAATACTTTATTAATCCCGAGGACATTGGGTTACTTGACAGTTGCTCCATTTTAAAATTAAATAAATAAAAGATAAATCAAATAGAGAAATCAAATATTGATATAAACATAAAAGGATTAATAACAAATGTGCAATAAAAAAGTAAAATATTCATATGAACACGTATATTACAACACATACAGTGGAGTATAGATATATGTATTAATGTTGCTATTTCCCGTCTCTCTTTTCTCAGACTGTCGCAGGTGGCCTTCACTGACACACAGCTGTCAGCGACGCAGCGAGGGGGGGTGAGAACTGGCCCTCACTCACACAGTTACATTACCACAAACAGGAAGTGAAAAGAATGACTTGCTTGGGCGTTGTGGTTCACAGCACTTGCAAATGAACTGATGTAGAGCACATTACTTTGTTATGTCATATGAAGTGTTCTGTGAAGGAGCTGTGTCTCTGAGCCTGACCAACCCGAAGTCATGCCATCAAATACAGTTTTAATAGAGCACATCTGTACCAAAGCTTTACATTAAACATTATTTAGAAAAAGATTATTACAGGACAATATATACATAGGCACAAAGTAAAGTAAATAATCAGAATTCTTAGGTAGGTTTAAACGTAAGGAATTAGCTCTGCTTTATAATGGTGCATATATAAACACAGTAAGAAGAATTAATTAATTTAGTAAAACAAGATGCAAACATAGAACTATTATCAATCTATTTAATGAGACAAATTACTCTGAAAATATAATAAAATATGTACAGTATATCTGAATTTAAATTGGAAGAGTTTTGAAATAGGTATCATTGTGAAGACATGTGCAAACATTCACAATAATTCACAATATTCACAGTATTTTGTACTGTAAAAACTGGACTGTATTTGGTTTAACTTAAAATAGTGACGTATATAATATTGTAATTTTATAAAATGATGAAATAAATCATTAAAATGTTGGTACACTACACTGTACACTGGAAGAGAACCATTAGGATTGTTACATTGTACTCAAAGAGCCCATGCTGCTAATACTATGCCACTGTATCAACTGCAAGGGTTGTTCTTCAACTTCCATTAGTTTTATTTATATTTCTCACATTTCTTTTTTTATGAGATCCTTTCCCCCCTCAAAGCACTTGATTACTCAACAGTCCATGGTCACTTCCATTATTGTGTTCTTTGTTCCAGGAGGAAGACTACCCAGCTAAAGATGAGGAAGCAGGCGAAGATGGCGACACAAACCAGAGCTTTTCCCCTGAGGAGGGGGATGCGGACGGGCTGGAGGAACTGCCTTCTTCCATCTGCCGCCGGGGGGGCCGTTGGCCGCCGGAGGGGGCCGTTATCTCGTATGGCCAGCCATACCAGCGTCTACCTGCAGGAGTGGGACATCCCGTACGAGCAGCTGGAGCTGGGAGAGCTCATTGGCCAGGTGAACACACACACTAATGCTATTCCTCAGTTAGAGTACTTCTCTTAGTGCACTGCATGTCGTTTACTGTGAACAATTTAAACTGTGTAGTGTTGTCTCAAATTGAATATTTCTGCTGTCACCAGAACTGACATTTGCCGCTGATATCTACCAAGCTTCCTAGCTAGCTAGATAGCTAGATACAACTCTGGGAAAAATTAAGAGACCACTTTGGTTTTACTATGTATAGGTATGTGTTTGAGTAAAATGACATTTGTGTTATTTTATTCTATAAACTACTGACAACATTTCTCTGTGTTGGAATTCAACAGACACTGGAATGGAATGGCTGCCATACATGTAGAGATTGAGATTTAAGAAAACATGTGGAGCTGTCTCTTAATTGTTCCAGAGCTGTAGCAATATGCAACGTTATTGTTCTGTGTACAGACTGCTCAATCAACCCTATACAATTAACGTTGGCCTCTGTTCAACACCAGTATTTTGAAAAAGCCCACATATTAAAATATTATCTGGCATATTGCTGTGTTCACAGGAGCAACCATTAGCAATGGCTGGTTGTGCTACTTCGGTTAAGTAGCCAAGATTGTGGTCTTTGATAGCGAAAGTGTCCGGTGTTCCAGACATTGATGTGTGAAGAGATCTGGTCTGAGGCAGGGCCCAGATCATTCTCATGAAAATTGCTCAGTGGCTCATTTTTTTGTTTAAGAACACAAATACTTGGATCTTCCAACGTTTTCCCCATCCATGAAGCCCATAGAGACCGCACACTAGTTTTTTCTTTTTCCAAGCCCTGCTGCCAATCCACTCCGTCACAGCAACTTCATCCCTGGTCTCGGCTCAGTCAAATGGAGCGGGAAAACAACTCAGACTCAGTTTTTAGCACATTTTACAACTTTAGGCCCAAATGAATGAATTAAGGCCTATTCCTACTGTGTGGTAGATTTACAGATGTATCTTCACCAATGTTAATCAATGAGAACAAGTATTTCTGGGCCTAATGACGTCACATGACTGACAGGGATGTTGAAGAACCACCGTTTTGCCACTAAATTATCTTCAACAACTGGCTAACTTCCTGGGGGCTTGAAAACAAAACCTTTTGTACGTTATGAGAGCACCATCAGCGTTCTCAGTGCACCGCATTTCCATTGTGCCGTACTTATGCACTCAAACTAGCCAATTCTAGTAGAGCTAAAGGTGTATTGAGACACAGGTAAGGTAAAGTAAGGTACGTTTATTTATACAGTATAGCACATTTTCAGAAACAAAGGCAATTCAAAGTGCTTTACATCAACATTAACACACAATAGGAAGACAAAAGAAAGGAACAATAAATAAACACAATGGAATAAAAGATTCATAAAAACCAATGCGTAAAAGAGATACAGAATAGTTGAAAAACAACATTGTAAAAACAGTAGGTGTTGCAAGAAGGGTAGGGATAAAACTAAGTGAAATGACTTCTGGGTAAGCAGCTGTAAAGATAAATGTTTTTAGCCTCGACTTATAAGAACTCAGCGTTGGTGAAGACCTCAGGTTTTCTGGAAGTGTGTTCCATTGGTGCGGTGCATAGCATGATACTAAGGACATATACAGAATAAATGTCATGTGGGTCCGACACAGCAGACACATTTTGACCCTGTGGTTGTCCAGGGCCGCTGGGGGAAGGTTCATAAGGGCCGCTGGCACGGGGAGGTGGCCATCCGCCTGATGGAGGTGGACGGGAACAACCAGGACCACCTGAAGCTCTTCAAGAAGGAGGTGATGAACTACAGGCAGACCAGGCACGAGAACGTCATCCTGTTCATGGGCGCCTGCATGGCCCCCCCACACCTGGCCATCATCACCAGGTACAGCTGCTCTAGTTCCCAACACAGACTCATGTATGGCAATATGTATTCTTTGTAGGAGTACGTGTGATGTGTTGTGTGTTTTAGTAACCATGTTGCCGTGTTTTTCCTGCAGCTTCTGTAAAGGTGTGACTCTATACTCTGTTGTAAGAGAACGAGGTCACCTGTTAGACATCAATAAGATCAGGCAGATTGCACAGGATATTGTAAAGGTAAGCACATTTATGACGATTACTTATAATCTATGAATACTAAATGTCTCACTAAATATGTCACGGATGTGTCTCAGTTACAAATGAAACATTAGTATTTATTTCTGTGCCTATTTTAATTTAATGAAATACTTTTTGAAATGTTGAAAGTATATTGTAATAACAAAAATATATAACTGAATTATGCACTTTTCACAAGTATTACACGGATCAAATACTGCCATCACAATTGGCCCACACCTGTACAAAAATAAAACAACTATTAATCCTTAATCCTTAAATTTAAGTATTTATTTTCTCTCAAAAAGACATGTCACAGTAGAGGAACAAAAAACAAATATGAACCTGAAAATGAGCAGAATATGTCCCCTTTAAAGCCACTTTGTATTGTAACAAAACGATTCAGACTTTGTTGCCCAGCCAGTAATCCAATGAAAAAAACAACTCTCTAGTCACAAACAGTAACAAGGACTTTTGACATCCTTTTTTTCTCTATTACAGGGAATGGGCTATCTGCATGCCAAGGGAATAATTCACAAGGACCTGAAGTCCAAGAACGTGTTCTACGACACCAACAAGGTGGTCATCACAGACTTTGGCCTGTTTGGGATGTCAGGAGTGGTTCAGGAAGGCAGGTAGGAGAGACACGAAATGATCCGCTGTAATCTGTATCTCTATATCTAATGATCTGTACCTCTGGCAAACCAGTGTTCATTAGTACTGTGTGTGTGTGTGTATGTGTATGTGTGTGTGTGTGTGTGTGTCTGTGTGTGTGTGTGTGTTAGAAGAAAGAATGTGTTGAGGATACCTCAGGGCTGGATCTACTACCTGTCTCCAGAGATTGTTCGAGAGATGAGCCCGGAGGTGGAAGAGGACCAGCTTCCCTTCTCCAATGCTGCTGACGTCTATGCATTTGGGTATTCACATTCACATTCATTCATTGTGCATACAATTAAAATGTGCCTTTGGGACTGACGTTTCACACAACATTCAGTGTGATATTGTTGTCACCTGCTCGGGTTAATTAACATACCCTTACTCTAATAAGTATATATATAAATACATTCTTCTAAAATGTACATTTTATCAACACTAACACTAATAAAACACTGTATATATTATAATATACATGTTAAATGTTGTAGTACAATGTGCACATATTTACTTTAACTTGTTTATAAAAAAAAAAAAATTTATTTTACCTTTTCATGGACATTTTCCCTTAAAAGATTCAAAATGTGCAACTGTCAATAAACGTAATGTCCCTGGGATAAATAAAATATTCTGATTATAATTCTGAAGAAGTTAACATGATTTGAAGCAGAGTTCCTTCAAGTTCTTTGTTTAACCTTCAGTCTATGGCTGTGCGATTATGGCAAAAATCATAATCACGATTATTTCTGGTCAATATTGATATCACGATTATTAAATACGATTATTCATTGACTTTGAAAACATCCATTTATTGAACTTTAAAACAAATAAAAATAATAATTTGAACAGTATGTTTTTAACAGTTGAATACCCTGAACGTTAAGTATAATTCAACTGAAAAACCAATCAAAAAATTAAATTATACATTTATATCTACATTTAAATAAATAATATCAAAAAAATAAATACCAATAAAGAAGATAAACAAATATTTTGGAGCGCACTTCCACAACCTACTAAACATATATAAATATGATAACTAATGTCACTCACAACCTGTAATGTTTAATTATACTGCTACACGCAGTACTCTTATTTTGTTGACCCCTGTCTGGAAACCGGAAGTAGCTAAGAGGCTCCAGCTTGACGAGGTTGTCAATCGTAATCGAGATTAAAATACGATTAATTGCACAGCCCTACTTCAGTCTGACATTTTTCTTCAACTGTTAGCCCTTATTGTATACTTTTTGAAATGTTTTTTCCTGGAGTTGTATGCACCACTTGGCATATTTGCTTAGAGTCTAGAGGTGGTTCCACTCGCACCATCGTTTTTCTTATGTCCTTTTTGTGTTTTCAGCACAATCTGGTATGAGCTGCAGGCGGGCGACTGGCCAATGAGCAGACAGCCTGTGGAGGCCAAGATCTGGTTGGTGGGCAGCGGGGAGGGCATCAGGGGGGTGCTGGCAGTGGCCAACCTGGGCAAGGAGGTCACGGTGAGTCTGGTTAGATTGTTCGTCAAGTTACTGAATGATGATCTGGTATGTCTTACTTGACATTATTGCATTTCATTTAGCTGACACTTTAATCCAAAGTGACTTACAATCAACCAAAATGCTTTTGCTTTACCAATAGCTTTCAATAAGCCAAAACTATTGTGTGCTACATACAGAAGTGAGGTTTTTATCTTTTTGCCCCCCTCCATTATTATTATCACACATCGTAATAGTACACAGCACAAAGCAGAGAGGGTCTTTGATACAAATGTGTAAGCCATAAACATAAACAAACAAGTTATGCACCATTTTTTTAATCTACATTTATCTTTCCTACATTTTAAATATAGCTGGCTTGTAGGAATGCACTTATATCAGTGTTTCTTTATTCCTAATAAAACTAACTCCCAAATACAAAAAAAAATGTACAACAGAAATAAAGTATGGATTTGTAATCACAGATGTGAGTCTTTTAGATTCTTAATGAAATTTAGTGTGATCTTACTTGTTTTTTATGTAATGTGTCAGTGTCTATCACAGCATCCTGGTGCAGTAAATTAAATGTCTCTAGCTATACAATATTTTCATAATTCGGAGAAATAAGTACAAACTATCATAATATTCATTATTTTATATTTCTGGTACCTGCAGGATTTGTTGACTCCAGCACAGTCTGAGGTATTGTGCATTAATAGAGGAACTAGAGCTTAAAGGTCACCTATTATACAAAATGCACTTTTTGATGTCTTTTATACATAAATATGTGTCCCAGGTGCGTAAGGGAACTCACAGTGTCAGAAAACAAAACCCTCTCTCTTTTCCTCCGTACCCACATCTCTAAAAACGGGGCTACAACGGAGCTGATCCAGATTTGCGTCCGATATGACGTAATATCTGAAATGTGGGCTGGGTTTACGCCCACGGCCCTATCAGAACGTTGCTATCAGAAACAATGCGCAACGTGTTTTGGACGTAATATGTGACCCGCTCTATCGAAATCAGTCGGAAGTCCCAACGGCTCATTTAAAAATAAACGTGGATTTGCGTAAAAAAATAGTTTTTCGGGGTTCGGGTGTTTAGTTTGATTTTACATAAACAAAGTCTTGGCTTTCAGAATATGAAACTTTTATTTCCATATCACACGATAAATACATTTTTGAAGCTTGTAAAGGGAAGATGACAGGCAACTCTCACTCACACTCAGCTCTTCCGCAGCGCCGCTCCCCCTCCCTCCCGCTGAAATTATGAATGTAAGGCGTATAGTAATCATAGGTAACACGGCAGGGTCCGTGACAGTTTGTTTTTATCTGATTTCAAATAAACAAAGTCTTGGCTTTCTCGGCAAATTCAGATGATAACTAGAAAATGCATTTCCTGCAGAAAATGCATTTCCTGCAGAAAATGCGTGCGAATGCTGTAAACTGTGAACATTTGTTGCTGAATTTAGCTGAAAATGCAGAAAAAGCTGAATATTTTATTAGCTGAATGGTTGCTGCTTTTAGCTACAAAAACCAAGTAAGTGTTTCTGTAGCTGAAAGTAGGCTGAAGGAGTTAAATATCAGATGTAAGTAGTAGTGAATGAATGTGTATGAAGAAGAGGAAAGAAAGTAAAAAGGCTTGGGAAAGCAGCAGAATATTTTGACTGCAAACTTTTCGACTAAAACCATACGTCACCAATAATGTATAAAATATGTGGAACCTGTTGAAGTCAGTATGAAGTCTCCATCAGACAGAAAAGAATAGGCTGAGAAAGTCTGTTAAAGTCCACTCTGTTTGTCAGTGTTTGTTTTTGTGCTGAGCACCTAATCATAACAAATAATCATAACACCTGTGTGTGAGCCCAGAGATCAAAGGTTTCCATGGTGATGTGCAGTAATCAGTGAGAGCAGATTCTTTCCATTGGTCTGAATGAGAGATAAACCTCTTGCATTTGAACGTTTTGTTGAAGAACCGTAGCAGATATCGGTGAAATGTCAACGCGTGAAGCGTCTCAGGATCCTGACGAGCGTCTGAAGTGTGCTTTTTGTGTACTTTCGGGTCAATAATGTGGCCTTTTTGGCAGATTAACTAAAGGTGTGCGGCTGCTGCTGTGAGGAAAGAGCACGCTGTATTTACAATAGGCCTTAATGGAGACATGTTGAAAGTTGTTGTCACTTCATGCCCTCAAGAGGCATTTTGTTTAATTATTTAGCTTAATTTGTTTTATTTTCCAACCTAGGAGAGGTTTTCCTACGATTTTCATGAAAAATTATGTCCAAGGAGTGTAGGGTTTGGGAATTATGGCAGGTTTAAAAAAAATGTTGGGCGAATTTCAAGCTGTCCTCCACTCTGTTTTGAGATCAAAGCACTCTAGACAATACACACTAATGTTAAAATCTGAAGAAAGCCTCTTTACCAAGCTCCAAACTAAGTTAAATATCTCAAAAAGTGTAAAAGATATGAAAAATCTTTTATAAAAAAAAGGTTTTATAGCTGAATGTCTTGTGATCATTTTAAAGTTGGAATGAAGTCTCTAGCTGAAAGTATGAGGAAGGAGTAGCATTTGGCGCAAGGTGTAGGTAAAAGAGGATTTGAAGGTTCTTCCCATTGAGTTCCATGTAAAAAAAAAGAGTTAAAAAAGCTGAATATTTCAAAAAGTATAGAATATTTTGAAAAAGTTGAAAGTTTCCCATCATGTGCTGAAAAGGCTGAATAGTTTGATATTTGAATGGTTTCTGTAGCTGAAAGTATGCTGAAGTTATGAAGAGCCAAAGTATTGGTTGAAATAATTAGAAGAGGAAGAATAAAGATTCAAAGAACTATAGTGGAATCCTGTGGCACAGCATTCCACTAAATACAACTTTGAAGCTTGTAACGGCATAATTACAAGCGGAGAACGGAGTAACTTGACGTCACAGCAGGCATAACAACAGCCGGTGTTTCTCGTGAGTGTTTTCCCCGGGAAACAAACACAATACACACAAACGCAAAAATACACAAACACACACACACACATACACACACACACTCGCGAGCTTACCCCAGACCAGTAATCCAAACCAAAATATTTTCCCTCCGTTACTACTTTGATCATTTGCTCCGCTAATAATCAATCAGATCGATCCAGAGAAGAGGAAACTTTGAAGGCCTTTTTCTCAAAATGATGACTCGGTGACAGTCATTATATAATGTGACATATTTTGCTTAATATTTGGAGTACAACAACAATCCTGATATCATTAGAAAGCTAGGAATCTCCTCTTTCCAACAGTGTATACAACTCAAAATGTGTCTTCGGGTCAATGCGACTGATTTCGATAGAGCAAGTCACATATGGTCTTTGTTTACATTAGCAAGCATTGCTAACACTCAGAGCTAACCTGTACTGGAGGGAGTATGTGTAAAAAAGCAGGAAATAAAAAGGAACTCGCCTTGTAGCAAACCCGCAAGAAAAGAAGCATTTGAGCTCCATACTGTTTCAGAAATAATCTTTGATGTGGTTTGGAACATGATATGGCGTTTAATCACGGCAGCATTTAGCTGAGTATCTGGGTAGAATTCTCCTGCATGAACTCTCCTCTCTGCTTTTTATTTATCATTTACAGCACAGTGAGGGTATTAACACATGTATGAAACCCCCTCCTCTCCCAACAGGAGATCCTGAGCGCCTGCTGGTCCCCCGAGGTGGACGGCAGGCCCTCCTTCACCCAGCTGGCAGACATGCTGGAGAAGCTGCCCAAACTCAACCGCAGGCTGTCTCACCCCGGACACTTTTGGAAGACCCCTGAGTAGGTATCAGAGAACAATTCCAGGGTGGACCGACCTACAACACAAACACATCCACAAAAAGGGAGTCTTCATCGTTTGATTGTTGTCGTCTACATTTTGTAAGCAGAAAAAAGATGGAGCTCAAAAGATTTTGTAAAGAAATGTGAATATTATGAAGCTGCCCTGCTGAGTATCAAGTCATTTTTTTTTTTATACAGATTATTTTTGGGCCGGTTTAGCCTTTATTAGAGAGATAGATTTGCAAGAGGAAGATAGAGGGGGGTCTTAAAAGGACCGCAGGCCAGATTTGGAAGGAACCAAGTCCTGGTATATTGTATTTTTAGGAAATAGTATTTTTGCTATGCCTGGTGGGATTTGTTGCTCCCTCTATGCTTCCTTCGTCTGCTTTTGCCACTGATAATATTTCTCACAGTCAGCAGTTATGTCCTCTATTGTTTTCCTGATTTGTCTCCTCTCCTTTTCCCTCTCTTTGTGCTTTCCTCTCCTCTGGGTGCTGACCGATCCCCCTCCCCTGTTCCTGTTGGGTCTGATCTCCACTCCCGCACACTTTTCACCATCCTCTGTTTCCCTTTGTTTCCACTTCTTCTTATCTCTGCCTTCTTCTCCTGCTGAAGGCCTTGGGATCATCATCACTGCCTGAGAGATCAGTGCCCTCAGGGTCTGCACGCACACCGAACATACATGAACAAATTCAGCAGCTGAGGCTACCAACAAATTATATTGGCTTGAGCAAATGTTATCAATATTATTTAAAAGAACAGTTTCCATCACGTCCTGCTGTTAATGTGTGACTAATATCTGTATTGATTGTTATCATGACTTTGCGTACATGTGATTCAATGTCAATATGCAGGTTATGATGGCAGTCTGTTAGCAGGGGGAGGGTCATGTGACAGAGGGAGGGAGAATCTGTAAGATCCCCTTCTGTACTCATTGTAAGTAGGCTTATTCAACTTAAATTGTACAAAATAATTGTCGCACACATCGTTCGTGGATATCTTGTCGTATCATGAGGATTACTTTCACGTCACATTAGCTGCTACATTCTCAGTGTTAACATTGAGGCAGGTTTCCTTTGTTAACCTTTGTACCAGCTGGTGCCTCCCACGGTTCAACCACAAGCTGCTTTATCCAATACAATTCACTTCATTTCGCTTTTAAAGTGACTTACATACACTCAGATTACCGTACACATTAGAACAGTTAACCTCATTGCATCGAGTTCTAATTGTTTGAGAAGAAAAGATAAAAAGGGTTGGTTCACCTTTTTTCCCCCATTTACCTATAAGGTAAATATCTTTCCGTTAAGTTATGTTTTATTATTAGGGTTTCAGACAAATTGGATCCCTCTCTGAGACTGCACTAAAACGACTTCCTTTGGAAACTGGCATTGGGGAAGACTAATCCACAGTGACCAGAATACATTCAGAAATAGGAGTCCAGTAATAGCGACCATCACTGTGGTCCATACTTTAATGTCTTAACTACTCTGAGATGCGATGACACTTTCTCAGATATTCATGGTCCCCAGATGTTGAATTAATACAACTTTCTTTATTAGCTGACTATTTATGTAGCACCATAATCCAGTTTCCCCAATACTTTATGACCAAATATCTGCAGATTTAATGGCAGTCCCATCAGCACCAGCTAACCAAACTAAGATGGTAAACATGCAACCTGCTGGCTAGACACTAGCATCTTAGCATTGTCATTGAGCACATGATATTAGCATTTAGTGAGGTACCACTACAGTAGATAGTAACTTTCCTTGGAAATGGGTACTCCCCGAAAATATTAAACTATATTGAAACATTGCCTTATGCTGAACATCAAAAATATTTGACATGACGCTTGAAACTTTAGATTCAGGCCTTTATGATTGGATGCTCATAAATGACTGTATGTTGGGCAGCTTTAGCATGCTCTAACAAACAGATAAAACTGTCACATGACTTGCTGTTTCAATACATTATGTGTCATCTATAGAGTGGTGCAGCGATGAGGTCATTTTTGTAGGCTGACCCAGCAGTTAGCATAATTTAGCCACTTGTTAGCAACCACAGTTTTTATGACACAGAAGCTTCGGACTTTCACCAGTGGGGTTTTTCCTGATGTACTTTATTCCGAAGAACAAAACGATAAAATCTCTTAAGCTTGTGTTCCCCACAGACCTCATCTTAGGCCTCTAACCACAAAAGCGTTCAGAAAAAACATTGACTTTGAGACGAGGGAATCGGAAGGGTAAAATGCTAACTCATTTCAGGGTTTTAGGACTAATTCCTGCACCACACTATGGATCAGATGGCAAGTGATACCTCCCACACTGAGATTTCATGAGAGCTATTTGTTCAGTCTTACTTTGATTCTGCAGGAAAACAATGAGCTGTGGACAAAACTTTAATCAATAAAGTCATTTGACACAGGTTTTAGTATTTCCCTCCCATGAGTGTCCCTCTGCATGTGTGTGTGTGTGTGTGTGTGTGTGTGTGTGTGTGTGTGTGTGTGTGTGTGGTTGTGTGGTGTGTTTGTGTGTGTGTGTGTGTGGTGTGTGTGTGTGTGTGTGTGTGTGTGTGTGTGTGTGTGTGTGTGTGTGTGTGTGTGTGTTGGGTGTGTGTGTGTGTGTCGTGTGTGTTGTGTGTGTGTGTGTGTGTGTGCGCGTGCGTGCGTGCGCATGTTGTTTCCTCTGGCAGGATAACAATATACACTTGGTAATGGGGGCTTTATGATCGTGAAAGTGATCAAACCGTGACGTTGTATATGTATATACAGTGATTGAGGTTGTATTTAATTTACTGTGTTTGTAAAAGGGTTTCAATTTCAGAGCATTTTAATTGGTACTGTATAGAGATTTTAGATTGTAAAGACTGTGTCAACTCTTTGTATATTGGTGTTCTTCTTTTGAGGGTTGTGGTTGAATGTGTTGGGTGTGTTGGCTTTCTCAGTATGTGGTGTACAGGATGTGATGATACATTGTAAGCTTAAGGTCTGAACAATTGAAGACATTAAAGCCTCTTTCCAGTACTCTTTGTGCTTCTTCTTGTATTACAATCAATGCTATGTATCAGAAAAATAATGACGATAGAACTTAAGAGTGTAACCCACATAAAAACATGTTATTTAAGGTAACAAGATTATACATTCAGGTTTTTAAAGACAACTTTAGCACCAAGAGACGATCTTGTCCAATCTATATCAACACCAGATTTAAAAGAGATGACCGTTAAATTCACGACCACAACAACAGTCAGGGATCTCACAAATTCTCTTGCACTGTATTTGTATTGTTATTTCATTCACTAAATGTCCATATTGTCCTGAAGTCTTGAATGTTGTCTTTAACTCAGCGCCCTACGGGATTCAGACCAAGTTTTATATTTCCAACTAGTAGCAAGGCCTCTTCCTTCTACAACAATTCCGATAGCGGATGTAAGAGGACCATTTAGGTATCATGTGTGTTTAAAAAGCAGAAGCATTGAACACCAAAGCATTAATAAGGTTTGCAGGGTCAGACTCGTGGTTACCACCATGTATTATTATCCACTCTTTGTCAGAACACAGGGCAATTGACATTTATGAAGTCCTCCAAACTAAAAATCCTTGACTTTAACCCGTGGTATGACCACACACACACACACACACACACACACACACACACACACACACACACACACACACACACACACACACACACACACACACACAGTATCTTATCAGCAGTCATATTTCTGTCCAAGCGAAACCTATAAAATCGCTCCGGTGAGGAACAGCTAGTCATTCATTAACTTCTCTGACCTTATGCCATACTGTAAAATGTTCCCTTGCAAATTCAAATAACATCATTCAAAATGTTACATACGTTTAATATCATAAGTGAAATATATTCAGCTATATAGTACATAACATTTTAGAACATCCTTAAGTTTTGTATAAGCCTTGCTGGCAGATCGTTTTGTATTTCATTTATTTAATGCCTTTTATTGCTTATCCCCCAAAGTGAATTAACTCTCCAAACATATCATGATGTTAGCAATATCATCAAAAAGATTTACCCATTATGTAATATTTACTGGCAATAAAACTGTAACCTGTACAACTGGGTTCTGTGTTTATCCAAAAGATACCATACTGAGGAAAGTCCAGTGACATGACTCACTTCCTTTTCTCACATCCTGTGGTGTCCTGCAGCAACTTTCAAACTGACTCTACGCTAGGCCAACAATCAGATAATATAAACTCATGCAAAACACTAGCTTGGTGGCTAGTGCTACACTTTGTGAAAAAATACTTGAGAAAGTCAGTAGAAAGTACCTGGTGGTAGGACACAGTAGCAATCAGTCTACTGTAAAAGGGGCATGTGAAATTATATTGACATGCAGATAATGACACCTTCACACAACATTAAAGCAGTTTACAAGCTGTCTGTTTAATATTTAGCTCTGGCTCAACTTTTTACTGCTTGCAAATTATCATTGTCACTTCCTTGATGTTTTTTTATAGCAAGAAGTCTAGTCGAATGGGCAGGTGGGTCTTTATTATGTTCATATTATTGAGATTTCTGTGTCTAAAGAATACTTTTTAAAACCAAAAAGCCCACACTTGGATTAAAGATGGTAAAATATGAGGGGGAAAGGACATGGAAGCAATGATCATAGTAGTTGACATTACAGGAACTTATTGGAAATGCATTACTTCTGCATCATTTTGACTTTCATGAACCTTTAAAAATAACACTGTCTATGCACTTTTTTATTTGTTTTTGTTCAAAGATTTTCAGTGGGAGGGGGTGAAGTTCAACTGTAAACGCCACCTACTGAAGGGAAATCGAAACCTAACTGTGCCGTAAAAGAGATTGTACTTGTAACAGTCTCCCATTTTGCATCAGAGTCCGCAGAACACAGTCGACTAGGACTCCTGTACATTTACAATTTGGGACAATGGCTTACAATCAGACACCGTTTTACAACCCAGTAAGTAATTCAAGTTTAATTTCCTCTCCTCTCTGGTGGTCTCTTCTTTCCTGACAAACGAGGTGGAGATTTGTGAGTCTGCCCAGCTCGGTGTCCGCTACACAGCCACAACCGGCAGAAAACGTGCCTTCTAGCAAATCTAAACCTACATTATTATAGGGAAGATTTCATTGCAGATCAGCAGGGAGTTTATCAACGGGAAATCCAAGAACTGTGGGACCCTTTTAAACAATATTGGCCTATCTGCTCTCCGTAAACGGAAGTTGGTTATCTTAAGTTAATGGAAAGTAATCCGTATTGTATTGTATGTATTAGGGCTACATAATGTATTTTGTACCGGTGCATCCCTCTCTCTATCCATATCTCTCTATTCTAATATATCTCTATCTCTCAATTATCTCCTCTCTCTCTATCTCTCTCTCTCTCTCTCTTATCTCTCTCTCTTCTCTCTATCTCTCTACTCTCTCTCTTCTCCTCTCTCTCTCTTCCTCTCTCTCTCTCTCTCTCTCTCTCTCACTTTGGCTGTGAGCTGCGGGCGCCTGATAAGCCAACATCCCCCACTTTCATCACTTACAGCGCCCATCGTAGCCTACAGGGCAAATGGAAATTGAGGAAGTGCAGATCCCCTGTCCTCCACCAGGGGGTGCTGCAGCACCCTCAGCACCCCACCTAAATGAAAACCAAAAAGTAAATTCAGGCAGCATGCGTTACTTATTTTTACATAGGTGTTGTATTACAAAATAGATACATTTTAAGATATATATCTTAATATTTAAGAATCTATTTTTATTATTTAATATATGTTTTAGACTGCTGCTTCCTGATCTTATTTTGGCAGTAACTGTTTGACATCCTGTCCCGAGAGATTTAACAGATGCAGAAACATCTTTAGCCTGGGACAACATAAGCAGAACCAAACAGAACAATGTTATATAAGTCACTTTCTGCAGAGAAAATAGCATAATACACACTATATAAAACAGTTCACACCCAGGCTGCATCTTGTAATAATTATCAACCAACCATTTGTGCACTGATAAACACGCACGTTGATGAATGTTGGCTTAATCCCAATTTTACCTTGTAAAAAAATGACTGGGGACACACCCGGTAACAAGTTAGAATAAAAGTCTGTCCTTTGCAGAGCATCCCCTTCACCGGATCAATCCATGGTGGTCTGCAGGAGGGGAAGATCATCAGCATCAGTGGACGAATCCTGCCTGGTATTGATAGGTGAGACTGTTCTTTTCATCTCTTAATCTCTCAGCTGTCCCAACATAATGGCAGGGAAATATGAAAGACGTATATTTTCAAACAACATTTCCACCTAAACAAACATAACTTTCAGAAGAAATAAGAGACCTTTTTAAAAAAAAAAGATAGTATCCTGAAATGTGTTAGGCTTTTATTAACCAACCAACGATGCCATTTACATCACACTTTGTTATCTGACGCTTTTATCGAAATCGACTCACAAAAAGATGAAATCAACCATGACGAAAGAAACCAAAACAGCGTAATCCTGGAAGTACATTAGTTTCAAATAAGTCAAACCTTTTTAAATGCTTACAAAAGCTGAAGCTGTGTAGACTTTCTGCCGTCCTGAAATCATTAGAGAGCATGTAAAAAGGATAGTAAAAAGGCATGTTTTTGTTGACGGATACCTGCATCCCATTAGCAGTGAGGAAGTAGTGAGCCAATTGGCCGACGCAAAGCGATGTTCTGGATGTGGGAAGAGCTTTTCACAGCAGGATAGAAAAAGGAAAGAAAAGCAATTTGGTCTTGTTGAAGTTGAGCTTCAAGTGGTGTGCCGATATCCACTGAGATATGTCAGCCAGATAGACATAGATTATAAATGTGTGTGCCACCTGGGTTTCAGAAGGGGGAAAAAACTGAATCAGTTGAGCTTCATCTGCGTAGCTGTTATGTAGAAACCATAAGTGTGAATAACAGACCCAAGTGGATTGGTGTACAGATAAAAAAGTAGGGGACCCAGGATGGAGCCCTGAGGGACCCCATTGTAGATGACATTGGTTTGAAACAGATCCTCTCCAAGCCACCCTGTAGTTACTGTCTTTGAGTTAGGATGTATGTAATTCCTTCTAGTTTAAGATGTTAATTTAAATTAGGAGACATTAATGCATTACAATTAATACGTAGACCAGTTTTTGTTTGTATTGTGTCTTCTCAATGTGTTAGCTCTCATACTTTCAGCTGCCAGAGTTTTTTAGATATTAAGTACACACTGGTTTCTCTTAATCTCCCAATGCATTCACTGTGATCCAAGAGCAAGAAAGGCTTGTCGTGTTTACTTTTGATTACTATCAGAAGATCACATTGCAGTTGACTGAAGCAATTCATGTTTTTCATTTTGTCTCAACAAATGTCTGTCCAATATATGACTGTCTCTCTGAAATAAAATCTTTGTTATTGTCAAATGATTAGTTTGAAGCGGTCAAAACCTCCAAGGGGCAGCTTAGGACTGTTTGTCACTATTCATGAATTCATATAGTGGCCATTTATACACATTTCTAATCATAAAAAAG